GCAGATATTCCCATACCAAACCAACTGGGCTCCACACAGGCTGGAGTCCTGTCCCTACCACCTGTGTAAGCAACTCTCCTGCTAGCTCAAGTGTCCATGGGGGTCATGGACTCTCCTGTTGTCAGGATTCTGAAGGTCTGTGGCAAGGGCAGGCTGCTTCTTGCCTGTTCAACTTATCCTTTCCACAGGAGTTGCTGGGGGTCATGAATGAGTTCTAGTACTTGGTAGCCCCACCCAGGTTTCCCAGCTCCTTCTCCCTTCAGCCCAGCATCTATGTCCTCCATCTGTCTAATCTCAATGCCTTCTCTCTGAAGATCTGCTTGGAGTGTGCCAGTCTTCCTGATGTCCTGTCTCTGGGTGGCAGATGTTCCTCCTGGATGCATCTAGTTGGCCATTTTGGCTGCACATCTCCATTATTGTTTTTTTTTTTAACAGCCTTTAAGACTAGCTTCCTTCATTTAGCAATATGTATTTAATGTTTCTCCATGTCTTTTACATCCATTTGGTATCTCATTTCTTCTTATCACTGAATAATTTCCATGATATGGAATGTACCACAGTTCATCCTTTCACCTATGGAGGGACATTTTTGGTAATTAATAAGGCTGCTATAACCATTTGTGTGCAGGTTTTTGAGTGAACATAAATTTTTAACTCATTTGGGTAAATATATGTATGAGTATAAGTGCAGGATCATGTGCTAAGTCTATGTTTAGCAATGGAAAACAAATGAAAATACAACCTATCAAAATTTGTGGGACATAACAAAAGCAGTGTTGAGAGGGCAATGTATAGCACTAAATGAATATATTAGCAAAAAATCTAAAGTTAATCATTTAAGTTCCCACCTTAGGAAACTAAAACAAAAGAGCAAATTAAATCCAAGGTAAGCAGAAGACAAGATATCATAAAAATTAGAGAAGTCAATGAAACTGAAAAAAGGGAATAGAGAAAATCAACGTGACCATATTATAATTTTTTTGAAGAGATCAATAAAAGTGATAAATCTCTAGCAAGACTAATCACAAAAGAAAGTGAGAAAACACGAAACTAAATGAAAGATCATTCTCACACTGATTCTATGGACATTAAAAGGATAATATAGGACTATTATGAATAACTCTATCCTCATAAATTTCATAACCTAGATATATTACTGAAAAACACCATCTACCAAAATTAATATCAGGAGAAACAGATAATCTGAATAAGCCTGTGTCTATTAAAGGTACCAAGTCAATAATTGTTAACCTTCTAAAACAGAAAACACCATGTCAGATGGCTTTAATGGTAAATTCTACCAAATATTTAAGAAATAAGTGAGATTAATTCTTTACTATTTCTTCCAGAAAACAGAAGCAGAGAGAATAAATTCTAAGTCATTCTGTGAGGCCAGCATTACCCTAATACTCAAACCAGAGAAAGATATTACAAGAAAGGAAAATTATAGACCAATACCTCTCATGAACGTGGACGCGAAAAATCCTCAACAAAATATTAGCAAATTGAACCAAAAACATATAAAAATTATACAACACAACCAAGTGGGATTTACTTCAGTTTATGCAAATCTAGTTCAACATTTGAAAATAAAGTAATTCATCACAACAATCTAAAAAAGAAAAATCATGTGATCATATCAATAGATGCAAAAGAAGCATCTGATAAAATCCAACACCCATTCATGATAAAAATTATCAGCAAACAACAAATAGAAGTGAACTTCCTCAACTTGATAAAGAACATCTATTATAAAACCTATAGCTAACATCATAATTAATAGTAAGATACTAGTTGTTTCAGGTTCATTTTGTACTTTCCCTGCCTTGGTCTTAGAATTAGCCATTTCTCTCTCTCCTTTTTTTTTTCATTAGCCATTTTTCTAGGGAGCTATGTTTTTTTTAGTGTGAAATGGTATTTAGAAACCAAGATAAGTACAGTGAAGTACTTATTGCTACACTGCTACTGGCACATTATTGCTGTAGGCCCTTTCAGTGCACAGGACTAGAACATACACACTTGCATGCACACACATGTATCTACATCTATTAAAAACCATGAGATCATTACAATGCCTCCAACTTGAATTCAATTCCCAGAATTGTTTCTAGCCTCTCTCATCCCATATTTGTATCTCCCTTTTCTAAAATGAGAAACCTGACTCCCAGAAACATTGATATATTTACTTATTTGTTTAGTTCAACAATATATAGAATGTAATCTCAGAATTATTTGTCTATACCACTGAGGGGGAAAAAATCCCAAACTACCAAGAAAAGTTAAAGATCTAGGATTACATAAAGTACTATGTACAAAAGTTTTTCAGTCAAGGTTTTGAAAATATGGTTATAGTATTCATTCAAAATATAGTTAGGGTTAATTATTTTCTGTCTGTATTTCACTTTAGGGGTTTTCCCCTCATGTCTGTAGATTCAATTTTTTAATGTATATAAAATATTAATATTTCAAGTCAAAAGAACTCAGAGAGGACTGGTCCATGCTGGGGTAGGCTGAGTGGCTGTCATGTGGGTTATGCCATGGGGCCTCATGCCAATCATGGCCAAGCTCTTGGTGCACAGGTAGCAATGGTGTATGCTCCAACTGTAGCTGTGTCAGCATGTTATGACAGTATCCAGTACCAGTCTGGCTACCAGAATCCCCAATAGTAAAGAGAAATACTCAAGGCTCTGCAGCACAAATGATGGCTACATTAGTCTTTAGTCTACAGAAAGCCCTCCTGGTCAATCTCTGTGGTTGATACCTCTAATCCCAACAGTTTGGGGAGGCCAAGCAGGACGACTGCTTGAGGTCAGGAGTCCAAGACCAGCCTGAGCAATATAGTGAGAAAAGGGATAATTATCTTATACCTTGTACTTAAGTGTTCAAAATGTGAACACTTACTCTGTTTACCAATCCTTGGCCAGCTCTGATTTGGTTCACCAATAGTTTGTTCAGCATATAACTTGGGTCATTCTGGCCTTTGTAGATTAAGATGTTCTATATGTCATCCCTTTAAGAATTGGACTTTTGGCTGTTTCCTAATTAAAAAGGTAGGTAAGTGGTTATTAATGAGAATTTATACCCTATTGCTAGCAAATTTGTATTATGATGTTGTTTGCTAAAGATCATAGGCTCAGCCTGGATCCCTTGAGGACTAGATTGCCTTAGGTTGATTCTGTTTCCTAGTTTGCAAAAAATGACTCAAATTCAAAAGAAATTAAAATTCAAAAAAAAAATTAAGTTCAGAGAAGTGTGCTTAGGAATGGGATTACTGGGTTACAGAATATGCATATGCTCAGTGTTAGATCATGCCAAATATTTTTCCCAAAGTGGTTGTACCAATTTATACTTACATCATCAATGGATGAAAGTTCCAACTGTTCCACAATATTGCCAATACATGGTAAAGTTTTTGAACAATTTTATTAATTTTGACGGATGTGTAATGTTATTTTTATTTCTTTAATGACAAAGGATGTTTATATTTAATAGTGAAGTACTTGGGGCTGGGCACGGTGGCTCATGCCTGTAATCCCAGCCTTTGGGAGGCTGAGGCAGGTGGATCACCTGAGGTCAGGAGTTCGAGACCAGCCTGACCAATATGGTGAAACTCCATCTCTAAAAAAAAAAAAAAAAAAAGTGAAGTACTCATATTGGGAATAAATAAGACAAAGAGGTCTGCTATTACTACTTCTATTCACAATTATGAAAGAGGTCCCAGTCAATGCAAATACATGCATATATCCATATAAGACATAAGAATTAGGAGATAAAACTCTCCTTTTTAACAAATGACAAGACTATACAATAGAAAATGCAAGTTAATTTACTGGTGTATTATTAGAATTAAGGGATGAATATAGCAAAGTCACTTTACTCTTGAATGCAGGTTTGAATTGTGCAAGCCCAAATTATGTACAGATTTTCTTTTACCTCTGCCACCTGAGACAGAAAGACCAACCCCTCCTCTTCCTCACCTTACTTAGTAAGGATCAAGACCTTTATAACAGTCCACTCCTACTTAATAGATAATAAATATATTTTCTCTTCCTTATAATTTTCTTAATAACATTGCCTTTTCCTTAGCTTACTTTATTGTAAGAATACAGTATATAATATATGTAACATAAAATATATGTTAACTGTTTATGTTATCAGTAAAACTTCTGGTTAACAATAGGCTATTAGTAATCAAGTTTCTGGGGAATCAAAAGTTATACACAGATTTTTTTTTACTGCATGGGGGTTAGCACCCCAAACCCTCACATTGTTCAAGGGTCAACTGTATTCAGATAAAGATGTGAAAGCAGTTCCATATATTAGTCACAATTGGAAAATCAAATTATAATAGCATCAAAAAACATGAAGTATCAAGAAATAAATGTAATGAGAAATGTGTAACACTTCAACCCAGAAAACTACAAAACATTACCAAGATAAATTAAAGAAGACCTAGGTATCTAAAGGGATACAGTATGCTTATGGATTGAAAAGATGTCAATTTTTCACAAATTGACCTATAGCAGTGGGGTTCTCAAAATGTGGTCCCTGGGTCAGAAGCATCAACATATCCTGAGAACTTGTTACAAATGAAAATTCTTGGGTTTCACCCAAGATCTAGTGAATCTAAAATTCTGTATTTTAACAAGCCCTTCTTGTGATTCTGATAGAGGCTAATGTTTAAGAATCACTAATCTACAGATTCAGTGCAATTCCAAGTAATTAAATAGCTTACCTCCTTTTGCTAAGTAAAGCATGACTTTAGCACGTCTTTCTTAAAAATGATTGGATATAAAAGCATTTGCTGCTTAGTTCATAGTTAAAAAATAAAAGAATAAAATAATCTAACTTTCTGAGAATTCCATCTACATTTACTATAAAATTGCATCAGAATTTCTAAGGTAATTATGTTATAAGGTGATTTTTACAATATTTGTGTGGCTGCTTTTGAAATACAGAAGAGACAAAGAATTATACTACTTGCATTTTCTAATACTTACAGTATTAATTAAGGTATCATATACAGCATTCACAAATTTAGCATTAATCCCAGAGTCTTCAATGGTATTAAATGAGGCAGTGACATCTTTCTGCAAATTCAATTTAAGATTTAAGTATATTCAACATTTTAAAGACTATTAGTAATATTTGAACCATACTATTCCTTCATAATTTCTACTATTTTTTAGTCTGATAATTAAAGAGAACTGTTAGACAAAACTCCTGAAAATAAAAAGAAATGTACAAAGATTATTTTAATAACTTTCTTTTTTAAAACTGAAAGAATGGCATTAAACATTAACATTAGAGCAAGTAAAAACAATATTTAAGGGCTGGATGCAGTGGCTTACACCTGTAATCTGAACACTTTGGGAGGCCAAGGTGGGAGGATCACCTGAGACCAGGAGTTCGAGACCAGCCTGGCCAACATGGTGAAACCCCGTTTCTACTACAAAGAGAAAAATTAGCCAAGTATGGTGGTAGGCACCTGCAATCCCAGATACTCAGGAGGCTAAGGCATGAGAATTGCTTGATCCTGAGAGGTGGAAGCTGCAGCGAGCCGAGACTGCGCCACTGCATTCCAGTCTGGGCAACAGAATGAGACTACATCTCAAAACAAAACAAAAAACCCCCCTTAAAAAACCCATGTACGTATATAATATTTGTAATATTACATAACTGTATATACTGTATAATTTCTGAAATCAATATATATGCATGTTTAAATCAACACTGAGTAGAAAATGAGGTAAATTTATTATATCATTTTTGGAAAATTGAAAAGTAAAAGTGAAATGAAAAATGTGTTTTATGTATAATTACCTTAAATGCAGCATTTAATTCTGGGAAAGAATCAAATGTTGTTAGATAAAAATCATGTACTGCTTTCCAATCTCCCGATGACTTAACTTTTTCTACACCTTCCCTAAAATGAAAACATATGTTAACATATTTATATATAGACATATTCAGAAAAATTAGCATTACTTTTTAATAAATGTCACCAAACATGCAATACAAAATACTGAAACCAAATAAAGAAATATGTCCCAGTTAGTTAATATAGTTTATGGATTTATAATTCTTAATTGGATTAAGATACTAATCCAGCTTCAAGTTTCCCATTTATTTATTTTTTTAAAAAAGATAATCCTTAACAAGTCTCTTTCAATGATCACTCTTTCCTCCCCTTCATAGCTAAACTTCTGGAGACTTTGTTTATATTCTGTCTTTATCATTCCCACTTAGTCCTCAAATATGCATTTGGATTTTTTTGAATGGTGATATAACTTTTATTGTATGTGTCACATCATAAATGAACTCTCATTTTTAAAAATGGTAAGTCTATTATTTAATTGCCACTTTTATCTCTTTTCGCCTGTTTTGATTCACAGGCTCTTACTCAATGTTTCCTTTATTTTGCTGCAGCCTATCTAACTCTTACCTGTTATTCATACATTTATTTTCTTTCACCTTCAACTTGAGACATCTAGTCTTTTGAATCTCTACTCTTTGCTAATACCTTATAATGATCATGAAGTTAAATTAATTTCTCAAATAAAGACATTAAATTATAAGTGCTGACATGCAGATGACTATACATTTACATATTAAGTTGAAACTTACTGAAAGTCTTTCAGAGTTTTGGGCTGGATAGGAAGAATACATTCTGGAAGGACTGGGGCCTTCACTTCGGATGATGATGCATCCATAGAGATACGCTGTTTTTGTCTAACATCAAGGCTAATTGGTGGTTGGTCTCTCACTGTGAAGTATAAAAACACATTCAAAATAATGAATCATTAAACTTTTCCAAATTATAAAACACAAGATTAACTGAACATGAACAGAACACAAATGAATTATTTTGTATTACATTCACTTTGAGATTAAAGAAAAGCCAACCATAGTGAAGGGCACTTACTGGAGGGCTTATTCGCCCACTCCCCTACTTCATTCACAACACATATTAGGCTGTATCTTACATTGATGTGTATAGTTAATATAGAGCTTCTTCCCTTTTTCCCTTCCCCCTCAAAATTGTCAATGTAATTTAGCATTTCTTTCTTCTCCTCTCTTCCCAAAAGTCACCTTTCAGGGGTTATTTCAATGAGGCTCAACGTTTTTAATGTTTATTAGCTTTTTGAATACAGTCACTATTATTATAAGTCACACATTGCTTAATGATGAAGACACATTCTGAGAAACATGCCAGTAGGTGATTCTGTCACTATGTGAACATCATACAATGTACTTACACAAACCTAGATGGTATAGCCTACTATACACCGAGGCTATATGGTATAGCCTATTGCTCCCAGGCTACATATCTATATAGCATTTTACTGTACTTAATACTGTAGGTAACTGTAATATAATGATAACTATTTGTTTATTTAAACATATGTAAACACAGAAAAGGTATGGTTAAAATATTGTATTATAATCTAGGGGACCACTGTCATATATGTGGTCTATCCTTGACTGAAACATCGTGACTGTATATGCACTTATTTCCTCTATAAGTCTTATAATTTTGATTTCTGCAAACAGAAAAGTATTTGAAACATTATTAGATTATTCTGTTAATATAATTTTGTCATTTCAAGAATGTTATATGAAAGAAATCACAACTATGTAACCTTTTCATATTGGTTTTGTTTTACTTAGCATAATTTTCTGGAGATTCATCCAAGTTGTTGCATATACAGATAGTTAATTCCTTTTTATTGTTTAATAGTATTCCACTATATGGGTGTACCATGGCTTATTTAACTATTCAACCATTGAAGGGCATCTATTTTTAGGTTATTGTAAATAAAGCTGCTATAAACATTTGTGTAGAGGTTATTGGGTGAAACAAGTCTTCATTTCTTTGAGGTAAATGTGTGGCAGTTACATATTTAGTTTTTTAACAGACTGTCAAACTTGTTTTCCAGAGTGGCTGTATCATTTTACATTCTTACCAGCAATATATTAGTAATCCAGTTTCTCTATATCCTCACCAGCATTTGGTGTTGTCACTATTTTTTATAGTTGTATAATATGACTGTGTGATTTTAATTTTCATTTTCCTAATGGTTAATCATGTTGAACATCTTTTAATGTGCTTAGTTTTCACCCATATATCCTCTTCAGCGAAATGTTTCTTTACATCTTTTGCCTGTGTTTTAACTGGATTACTTACTTTTTTGCTGTTAAGTACTGAAAGTTCCTTATATAGTCTAGATAATCATTCCTTGTCATATATAAGTAGTTTGCATATATTTTCTTCCACTTTGTAGCCTGTCTTTTCATCCTCTGCACAGGGTCTTTCTCAGAGCAAAATGGTTAAGTTTTGATGAAGACAAATTTATAAATTTTTCTTTTATGGATTATATTTTTGGTGTCAACTCTTAAGAACTCTTTTCCAGCCCTAGAGGCCAAAGATTTTTTTTACCTATGGTTTTATTTTTTTCCTAAAAGTCCAATCATTTTACATTTAAGTCAATTACACATTTTAACTTAATATTTGTATTAAGCTGTGAGTTTTGGGATAATGTTAATTATTTTTTGTCTATAGATATCCAATCACTCTGGCACCATTTATTAAAAAGGCTAGTTTTCCTCCACCGAATTGTGTTTGCACTTTGGTCAAATTACAACTGGGCGTATTTGTGTGGATCTATTTCTGAGCCCTCTATTCTGTTCTACCAATTCTTGTATCTCTCCCCCCACTAGTATCTCAGTATGATTATTGCAGCTATATAACAAAAATCAGGTAGACTGATTCTTTTAACTCTATTCTCTAAAAGAACAGTTTTAGCCATTCTAGTTCTTCTGCCTTTCCAAGTAAATGTGAAAACAATCTTATCTATATCAACAAAAACAAACAAAAAACTTACGGGAATTTTCACAGGAATTGCATGAAATTTGTGTATGAATTTGGGAAGAACTGGCATCTTTACTACAATAAGTGTTCTAATCCATGAACACAGTATGCCTTTGCACTTACTTACAACTTAATTTCTTTCATCAGCATGGTATAATTCTAAGCATACATATTCTGTAATGTTTGCTAGATTTAAAACTTTTGCTTTTTAAGTCATTACAAATGACATGCATTTTTATTTTAGTGTTCACTGTTAACATAAAGAAATATAACTGATTTTGTGTTTATCTTGTATTCTTCAGCCTTACTGAACTCACTTATTAATTCTAGGAAGGTTTTTTTTGGGAGATTTTATGGGATTTTTTTTTTTCCATAGACAGTCACGTCACCTGCAAACAGGGACAGTCTTATTTCTTATTTTCTAATCTACATTTTTAAAAATTCTTCTTGCCTTCTTATATAGGCTAGAATTTACAGCAATGAGTTGAATAAGAGTAAGAGCGAACATACTTGCATTATTCCTACTCTTAAAAGGGAAAGCACTAAGTCTAGCCATTAAGAAAAAGGGTAAGCTTTATCAATATAAGGGTACTCCCTTTGATTCTTAGTATGTTGAATAAGAGTGCTAAGAGCAGACATCCTTGCCTTGTTCCTGACCTTAAGGTAAAAGCATTTAGTCTTTTCACAATTATAGAAAATGTTAACTGCAGGATTTTTCTAGATGCCATTTACCAAGTAAAGGAAAATATTCTCTTTTCTTATTTTTCTGGGAGTTTTAATTTTTTCATCATGAACAGGTGTTAGATTTTGTCAAATGATTTTATTGCATGGAACCATTCCCAAGCATGTTAGTATGGTGGATTACATTAATTGCCTGGAATGACCTTTCAGTCATGATGTGTAACTTCTCAGATATTGCTGAATTTTATTTGCTAATATTTTGTTAAGGATTTCTGCCATCTATATTCCTGAGGGATACTGATCTGTAATTTTCATTCTTTTATTTTTTTTTAACTATCTTTGGTTTTGTAATAAGTGTAATACTAGTTTGTAAAATAAAATAGGAAGTGTTCCCTTCTCATCTATTTTCTGGTAGAGATTGTACAAAAATGATGTTAATTCTTTAAGTATTTGGTAGAATTCTCCTGTGAAACCATTCGGATGTGAATATTCCTTTTTTAAAGTTTTAAAACTAGAAACAATTTTCTTAGTGGTTATAGAACTATTCAAATGAACTATTTCAAACTACAGCTGCAATAGCTTTTGTTTTTTGAGGAATTGGTCCATTTCATCTGAAATTTATGTGTGTAGAGTTGTTTGTAGTATTTCCTTATCTTTTTTGATGTTTACAGGGTCTGTTGTAGTATCTCCTATTTCGTTTATGATACTGATAATCTATCTGTTTTTGTCAGTCTTCCTAGAGGTTTGTCAATTTTATTGATCTTAACAAAGAACCATCTTTTTGTTTTATTGATTTTTCTCAATTTTTTTTGTTTTCCATTTGACTGATTTTATCTTTATATTTCCTCCTTCCTGCTTGCTTTGGGCTGATTTTCTCTTCTTTTCCTAGGTCCATGAGCTAAAGGCTTAGATCTTTGTTTTGAAACTTCCCTCCTTTTCCAATATATGCATGACTGCCATAAATTTCCCTCTCGGCACTGCTATAGCGGTATCCCACAAAATTTTGATATATTTTATTATATTTTTATTTTTATTCCATCCAATCCATTTTTTGATTTCCCTTGAGACTTCACCTTTGAAATTAATTTGAATTTCCAAGAATTTTGGAGATGCTCCTGTTATTTTGTTACTGATTTCTAATATAATTACAGTCAGAAAACATACTTTGCATTATCTCAACTCTTTAAAATTTCAGAGTTGTTTTATGGCCCAGAATATAATCAGTCCCATTGGCACTTGAAATGCCATGTGTATTCTGTTGTTGGGTAGAGCGTGCTATAAACGTGGATTAGATACTGTTGGTTGACAGTGGCATTGAGTTCGTCTATATACTTGTTGATTTTCTATCTAGTTTCATCAAATATATACTCAGAGTTGGAGACTTCAATATCTAATTGTGGATTTTTCTGTTTCCGTTTTCAGGTATTTTCTCCGCATCTTTTACATCTCTGCTGTTTGGTGTGTATGCATTTGATATCACTATATATTTTGGGTGATTATCCCTTATATCATTACATAATGTTCCTAATCTGTCTCCATGAATTTAATTTGTTCTAAGCCCACTTTGTCTGATACTAATATAATCATTTGTTTCCTTTGATTGATGTTTTGCATATTTCTTCCTCTATCCATTTGCTTCCAACCTGCTTATACTGTTACATTTGAAGTGAATTTATTATAAATACAGTTGGGTCATATTTTTTTACACTGACAGTATCTTTTATTTAGACTATTTACATTTAATGTAATTTTTGATAAGGTAGATCTTAAATCTGTGATTTATTTTCTTTTCTCTCTGTTTATCATTTCTGTTATTTTTTCCGGCCTTTGCATGTTAAAAATGTTTCAGAATTCTCTTTTGATTTATACATAGTGTTTCTGAGAGGTTTCTCTAGATATTACCTTATAGATATATAATTTATCATAGGCCACTCATATCATTTTACTAGTTGGAATGAAGTATAGGAATCCTACCCTCCTCTGCCTACCCCTGTTTATAATTTTCTTTGTGTGTGTGTGACAAGGTCTTGCTCTTTCACTGAGGATGGGGTGTGGTGGTGTGACCATAGCTAACTGCAGCCTCAAATGCCTGGACTCAAGTGATCTTCCCATGTCAGCCTTCTGAGTAGCTAGGACTACAGGCATGCACCAACATGTCTAATTTTTAAGTTTTTTGTAGAAACAAGAGTCTTGCTATGTTCCCCAGGCTGGTC